GAAATTTCGGTATTTCATCTTTCATATAAACTCCTCGAAAATGAGGAATATTTTTAAAGGCAAACTTCAATATATCAAAATTCGATAACGCTCTATTAGGTAGCTCATTTAGTAGTTTTTTTGATTGCGTTTTTGTTTGTTGGTATTATTATTTTTCGTAAATGATATACCGTAACCTTTCTTGTATGGATGTAAATACAATCCCTTGCCTAACGCTACCGATTCCATTTTCTATTATGTCTCTGGTTTTCCTCAAGTTGTGCCTTTGCCATCTTTGCATTGTTAATAGACTTTACAATTGCAGCGCTACCTGATGCTAAACTTCCCACAGCGCTAAGGGCTGTTAAAATAGGTACCAATGGTAAAAAACCACCAATTTTAGGGACTGCTATAACCCGTGGAATTACAACATTTTTCCTACACCCCATAGAGTTAGATACTGCAGAGCGAGCCACTTTTACTGCATTCAATAAGTCAAGAGGTTTATTCTTTCGCAATTCGATTGTTGCCTTTCTGATGATTGAGGCAAGAGTTTTTTTTACAACTTTCTTTTTCTGCTGCTTTGTTCCCATCCCAAATTTTTTCTTTAGCTTCATCACGTTGCTCACAAAATATGCTGCAGCTCTTTCACTAATGCTGCTATTCAATGCTTTTACACGATCCCGAGCCCTATCAATTAAGATGGAATCTGCTTTATGTCGTTCACTCAAGTCCTTGCTATTTGAATATGCTATGTCGTGTTCCCGACAAGCCTCATCTAAACCATTGATCCCTCGGTCACCACGAAGTAATCGTTTCTCAAGGTTTGTGCCAGGTCCACAGTAATTGTACCCAGGTATATGAGCCTCAAAGGGTAAAGTGTTTATTAAATTATTTATGATACCAGTTCCCTGTTTCACATTTGATTTATGACTGATTATATTATAAAAATGTTTCCCCATTTTATATCAACCTCAATTAACGAATGATTGTCCTCGAATGAAGTACTTATCTTCAAATCATGCGTTTATTAAGACAAAATAAAAGTATCACAGTAAGAAACATTGAAGGTGGTGTGCATGGTGAAATTACTCATCCACGACATAGTTCATTGTTACCAAACACAATTAGAAATTTAATTGTTGGACCATCCAATTGTGGAAAAACCAATGTGATGATAAGTCTTATCGAAAGTCCAAATGGCTTAAAATTTGAAAATATTTACGTATTTTCAAAGAGTTTATATCAACCAAAATATGAGTATTTGGAAAATCTTGTGAAACCAATACGATGAATGGGATATTACACATTTTCGTCAAATGATAGAGTTTTGTCACCGGAAGTAGCAAGAAACAATTCCATTATGATATTTCATGATATCGCATCCGAAAAACAAGATAATATTCGAGATTATTTTTGTATGGGACGACGTAAAAAGATTAATTCATTGTATTTATTTCAAACGTAAACACACATTCCGAAACATTTAATTCGAGACAACGCGAATTTTATTATAATGTTTAAACAGGATGACTTCAACATGCGTCGTATATATCGAGATCATGTCAACAGCGATATGGATTATAATTCATTCATTAATATGTCAAGAAGGTGTTGGGAAGATAAATTTGGATTTCTTCTAATCTCTAAGGATGATGATATGAAAACTGGACGATACAGAAAAGGATTAGATCAGTTTATTATTCTCGAATAAATAATAATATAAGTATAATGAAGTTAATAAAAAAAGATACAGTTCACGATTAAGCTTCATAATGAGTACATCGCTAACATTGCTTTACTTGGAAACACATCTGTACTAAGCGAACATTTTTTTCCTCAAATTGAGTTAAATCGTAATTATGAATGTGCTCTAATCGACTTTTTTACATTCAAATCTATACCGAATGTAGATAAGGGGAATAATCTATTTCATATTGGAAACAAAGTCATAGAAATACCTATAGGCTCATATGAGTTTGAGGATATAATAAAATAAAATAAAAATAAAAAATTTTTAAATCATTGGGATTTAATATCAAATAAGACTTACAAGTATTATTCAAATGAATGAGATTTTTTATGTTCAAGAAAAACCTGTCAATGATAAAAGCATTGTTAAAAAGAACTACATACTTATTATCCATATCAACAAAACTTCAAGCCAAATGATGAAGTTCGTATCACAATACAGAACCAAGATTTGTATGTCCTTCCATGTAAAAGTTTTCTCCACTTTAAGGGAACACTTGGCAAAATTATTGATACAAATACAGGAAAGACTTCGACAAATGGAGCTACGGGTGCTTAAAAATATTTGCAAGGCCTATTTTCTTGATGTAATAAGATATGAGGTGTGAATTGGATAGAGCACGGTTTACTGAAATTACAACAACTATTAAGAACTTTCTCTCAGTCGGTGAACAGGAAGGAGTTCTTTGTTGTAATTCTGGGTGGAGTGGTGGAGACAATATAGGACATTTCAGCTTTTCTTTGGACGTAGATGCTATGCGGTCAGTACATTCAAGTGGCCCGTATGACACCAGGCACGCCCCTGTTTGGGTTAGGTGTTAGTAGGCGCGATGGAAAATATAGGACAGAATATGGGGAGATTGACTACCGGTGTATTGCCAGGTTGTTTGCTTGCATGTTTACTACGTGTGTTAGTATTTAAGGTTTTAATTTATAATCATGCAGTTCGAAGGAGGTTCTAAAGTACCGCAACACTAGTGGGATATAGGATCTAGTAGTTCTACATGGTACGTGGAAATTGAGGTCATCAAGTCAGCACTTTCTACATCACCATGGATAAGGTTAAAATAAAGGTTATTCCTAGCAGGTATTTACAAACAATTTGAGAAATGCAAAAGTATATCTAAATTCTGAAGTCTATCTCTATGAGGATTTGAATATTAAATATAATGGAAATCGGTTTGGCGCCTTGTACGATATCTATACAAAATTCCAAGAGAGCTACTACAATTGAGAACCACGGGCTCTTCTATCACCCATGGAGAAGAAGGCTCCTATCGTTCTTGTTGATCTCTCATACCAGAATGAGTCTGTAAAATCAGGACCGATTGATGTAAAAATTTCCACAGAGCTAACCGCGGCGAGTAAGATGAATACAAAGGTATATTACCTTCTCATCCATGATCGACTAGTTGAATATACACCATTGATTGGATTAGTTCAACTTATCGTCTAAAAATGTTCAGAGGATAAAATCATTCAATTTTTATAATAATTGGAAATAGACGTCCACGGAGCAATGGTGTCGATATGTGCGCCTGCCATTTTTTTAGTGTTCGCTCTTAAAAATCATAAAGAATTATGAAAATGTATGTTAATTTAGAACATCGATGCTGATATTTATATTTGATAAATAAAATTAAAATATACAAATCAATATATATGCATGTTTTCATTGGGGAAAACGACTTGGGGACTTCTTTCAGCATTTATTTTTCAGATTTCCCACTCAATGCACTTAAAAATTCGCAATTCCATATCAAAGAAGGGTACATCTTCTGGTCGATGAAAAAGGGGTCGTGAGGGTGATCGTTCCTCGAATGTTGTGAAAGGATGGGGTGGTGTGTGTGTGTGTTACACTCTCGTGGTGAGCATCATTCATATGTTTGTACTTTGGTTTTTCCGTTACAAGTCTTGTACACGTACACAATTGCATATAACGTCAGTTTTTTACGTGAGAATCGTGGGTAAAAATGCTTCAATCCGAGCGTGAATTTTCCATTACAAGACATGTACCCTTCTTTAAGACGCCATCCCTTTTTTAAGAGAGCATCGTGGGTGACCGTCCACGTGTACTCCAGGATCGAGAAGAGCGTAGATTTTCCATTCCAAACATGTACCCTTCTTCAATTCTCCCCGACCCTTTTAAGTGAGGATCGTGGGTGAACGTCCACATGCGTGGAGGGTGCGGTGCGCCCTTTTCCATTGCCCCCCCCCCCCCCCCCCACCGCACCTTTTTTTAAATGAGGGGTCGTGGCTCCAGGATCACTCGGGATGGCTCCCTCCCTTTCGCACTCGACCTTTGTACTGACCCTAATTAATTGCATCTTTATTAACCTATCCAATGCCAGGTTGACAGCTAACCCTCATTAATTGCATTTTTATAGCATTGCAGGGTATTATAATTTCAGTCAGAAGTTTGCAACGCAGTGAAGGAGGCACCTCCGACTATATAAAGTATATATATTCTTGATCAGGATCAACAGCCGAGTCGATCTAGCCATGTCCGTCTGTCCTTTTGTCCTTCTGTCTGTCTGTCCGTCTGTCCTTCTGTCCGTCTGTCCGTCTGTCCGTTTCTACGCAAACTAGTCTCTCAGTTTTGAAGCTATCTGAATGAAACTTTGTAGTTTGCCGTCTATATACTCACACTCGTTTATGTGTCGGAACGGGTCGGATCGGACAACTATATCGTATAGCTGCCATAGGAGTGATCGGAGAATTAAAAAAAAAAATTATAACATTTTCAGTTTTTCACAGAATTTAATCAAATTAAAGATATAGCCATTATTTATTTATTTATTCTACAATCTTGTGTATAATTTATGAAAATTGGATTACTATATCAGATAGCTCCCATTGAAACGATCGAGAAATTAATAAAATTAAAAATTATAACTTTTTCAGTTTTTAACAGATTTTTATCAAATTCGAGATAAGGCCTTTTTATATTATTCTACAATTTCGTGTTAAGTTTTTTTGAAAATCAGACTATTAAATAATATAGCTCCCATAGGAACGATCGTTAGATAAAGAGGAAAAATGCAAATATGTGAATGTAAAACTGTAAATATAATATGTATAGGTGAATGAAATGAAATCAGGTATTATTTCATTGTTATGTATATATATATATAAACAACAATGAAATAATAATATATATATATATATAAACGCAAATTTAAATCGATATGATGCTGCGGATAACAAAAAATTACACATAAAACTAAGATTTATTCAGTTTAAGTAGAATTTTTATTTATTTACTGTTTTTTTGCTTAAAGTTATCTTGACTCAAACTAATTAGAGCGAATTAGAGATTTGGATTTAACTGATCAAAATACATTCTAATATGTACATATATAACATTCACGAGACATAATAGTTTATAACATTTTACTCTCCATTGACATTGTTAACTTTCATACGTTGTTAAGTACATATAGTGGTACAGAATTGGTTCAAGCAGTTACTTTTATTTTTATATTTCTTCTAATACTTGAGACCGATACGATTGTAAGTTGATAATTGAAAAAATGTCAGAATTGATCAGGCATCTTCTCAATAACCGGCTTGGTCGCTATCCCTACTCTTTTTTTTGGTTTCATCACTACCAATGTAATATTAAGCTCGGCATCCACACACATCATCGCTCCGGCATTATCAAATTCGCCGCAATAATTAACAGCAGAAAACACTGTTATCAGTTGACGCTTAGCAAAGAATTCATAGCCGTCCTCAACAACCTGGTGGGCACGACATATTAGATCAAAACTAAAACGGGTGAGAAACGCTTCAACGATATCGACTCCAAAAGTGAAGCTTACTCCACGTGAGTTCTTGCCCCAGCCAACTGCGGTTGGATCCGGATCAGACCAGAGTAAATCACACAAAAGTCCATTCCGATCGACTTCGGCCGGTCTTTGTAAATATTGGATATCATTCATATCATTGAGTGATGGACTCAGACCTCCGTGGCAACAGAAGATTTTCGAATTAATTATTGCAGCCACCGGCAGACAGTCGTAGCAGTCGACGAACATCCGCCACAGACGAATAGTGAAGCGGCGTTTGCATTCATCATAGAATCCATAAAAACGATTGATAGCAGCCGATTCATGGTTTCCACGCAGTAAGTGTATGCTTGTCGGGTACCGCACTTTATATGCCAACAACAGCGTGAGTGTCTCAACTGAGTATTTGCCCCGATCCACATAGTCGCCAAGCATCAAATAGCGCTTTGTTGGAGGGTGTCCAGACGTCTCGAAGTAACGCAGTAGATCATTATATTGACCATGTATATCACCGAGAACATTGATAGGAGCTTCCACTGTTAACAACATTGGCTCTGACATAAGAACCTCCCGGGCAAGCTTCAACATTTTCATTAGATCTGATTCAGGTACTGACATTCTTTTATCGGTCCTCCAGCTGAGCAGCGATGCGATCATATCGTCCAAGTGTTTTTCTAACATTTGAAACCGTCAATGAAGCAACCATTTGGGCATCTACCACTTTCTGAATGGACTTCCTTTATTTACTGGAATTACTGGACTGGGACAGAATTCGATCAATTGAAGGTGTAACAAACAAGTCCTCTAGCAAAGAAAACATAACAAATAAAAATATCAAATTGACAAGTGTTTATCTGACGTAAATGTCGAAGTCTAGTTATTATACCTTGCAAGGTATTATAATTTTAGTCAGAAGATTGCAACGCAGTGAAGGAGGCACCTCCGACTATATAAAGTGTATATATTCTTGATCAGGATCAACAGCCGAGTCGATCTAGCGATGTCCGTCTGTCCGTCTGTCCAACTGTCCGTTTCTACGCAAACTAGTCTCTCAGTTTTTAAGCTATCTAAATTAAACGTTGCAGTTAGTCTTCTATATACTCTCAATTGTATATATGTAGGAACAGACCGGATCAGACGACTATATCATATAGCTGCCATAAGAACGTTCGGAAAAGTTTTACAAAAATATAATATATAATATATATATAATAATATAATATATATAAAAATATAAATTATGTATTTTTCAGTTTTTAACAGAGTTTTATCATATTATTGTTTTAGCCATTTTATATTATTCTACAATTTTGTGAATAATTTTATGAATATCGGACAACTACATCATATTGCTGCCATAGGAACAATCAACAAATTAATACAACTTAAAATTGTAAGTTTTCCAGTTTTCAACAAATTTGTATTAAATTTAAGTTATAGTCATTTCATATTATTCTACAATTTTGCCTAAAATTTTTTTTGAAAATCGGACGTCTATTTTATTTCGGTGCCATACAAATGATCGTTAGATATAGAGGAAAAATGCAAATATGCGAATGTAAAACTGTAAATATAATATATATATGTAAATGAAATGAAAGCATGTATTACCTTATTGTTTTTTAATATAAATATATATAATTTATATTGTACTGTATGGATATATAAACTTCGACGTGTCGAAGTTAGCTTCCTTTCTTATTAAAATTTAAATCGGAGCTTGTCAGCAAAAAGCAGTAGACAAAGGAAAAGTATCTCAGAAAGCGTGCTGGTCAAAAATTGTTTCGCTAAATTGAAGTTTTATAAAACTCCGAAGTGATAATAAACCGCAGATAATTAAAATTTCTATGTAATTAAATTGAATCCAATTTTTTATTTATTTTTCGGCGCAAAAACAAACACGACGATGCGACCATGGCTATGCGAAAAAGGTCAAGGCTAATACAAAAAAAACTTTCAACAATTGACGTTTCGATTTACTGATTGTCATCGCAAAAGCCAACCATGTGCATGCAGCTATCCTAATTTTGTGTATATAATTGGTTTTATTCTCCAATTTAGTTGTGCTGCTAGTGCTTGCTTTTGCATATTTTGAATTCCTTTTTGTGCCTTCTTCGTCTAGCTTTTGTTTGCGCCGTCGCAACAGCTAAACGTTTCATCTATTTATCTCCCACGCTCTCCAACTCTCTCGCTTTAGTTGTGCCGCTGCACTTCTTATCTTATCTAATCTATTACGCTCTCCCGCTCTCCCGCTCTCTCGCTCTCGCTTCTTTCTTCATAGCTCTGTTGTTTTTTTCAATTGAAAGTACAGTGGTAAGTCGTTATAATGTCCTCAAATATTGTCTGTTCCGTGAAAACCTGCAAAAAGGCAATTGCTGCAGGTGACCTTACAATCGGCTGCTGGCTGTGCGACAACGTCATGCACGCCAAGTGTATTGGGGTTGCAGCTCGGACGGTGGACGATGTAAGGAAAAACATCGGCCTGCGTTACTGTTGTGAGCCCTGTCGCGATGTAGAAAGGGAAATGACGTCTTTCATGCGGCAAACCAAAAGCGGTTTTAAGGGCATTTTAACGGTTTTCGTAAAACTCTTGATATGTTCTTGGCGCTGGACACCCAATTAAATAGCCTTACGCTATTAAATGAGTCTCCTAGGCGCAAAAAAACTGCTATTGGTGGGCAGCATGTAGACGGACCCCAACTACCCGCAACAGGCTCTCAGCAGCAGCCTCCCACGGCACAGCCCTCGACCTCAGCATTAATTCCAAGAGTGCTGAGATCGAGCGCTAGGAAAGATTCGGTATCCGAATGTGCAGCGGGAGTGCCCGTACCACCGGTGATTTCTGTTTTATCCCCTGGGGGGTCGCAAATATTGACCCCTCAAAGTCCCGTCCACACAAATATATCTGCCCTGTGCTATCCCCTTCTAAAATTGTTTACCTGTCCTTAGAAACCTCCCACTTTCCCATTATTTGGAAGGAATCGTTTATTATTCCTCTCCACAAAAAAGGTAGCAATTGGATGCCAGCAATTATAGGGGAATCTCTAAGTTGTCGGCCATCCCAAAATTATTTGAAAATATTATCACCCCTCATTTACAACACCTTTGTAGATCGGTTATTTCTCCATGTCAACATGGTTTTATTAAGCGAAGATAAACAACAACAAATCTTTTGGAGCTCTTTTCCTATATTATAAAGGGCTTCCATAATAATTGTCAGACAGATGTAATCTATACTGATTTCAGTAAAGCATTTGACTCTGTTAATCATTCTCTCCTCGTTAGAAAACTCGATTCAATGGGTTTTCCAAGTGATCTTCTTAATTGGATCTCTAGTTATTTGAATGGCAGGACGCAAAAGGTCCTCTTTAAGAATAATTTATCCAATATTCTAAGGGTTACATCTGGTGTCCCGCACGGAAGCCATTTGGGACCCTTATTGTTTACATTGTTCATAAATGACCTGCCCAAAGTCTTGACTAACTCCAGAGTACTTATGTACGCGGATGACGTCAAGCTTTGCGTGCAATACAATGACGTTGCCTGCCAGTCGGATTTACAAACAGATCTTAATAATTTTCAAACTTGGTGCCGTGTAAACTTATTAAACTTAAATGGCTCGAAATGCAAGCTAATGACATTCTCTCGTGTCGCTCCTAAGCTTGCTACTTACACGCTAAACGGCTGCTCTTTGGAAAGAATTAATACAGTTGACGATTTGGGCGTCCGCTTGGACCCAAAACTTGACTTTATTGATCATATTTCGTCTATGGTGAATAGAGCCAGGGGTGTGCTTGGATTTGTTAAACGGTGGTCGAAGGAATTCAATGACCCCTATGTTACTAAATCCTTATATACTTCCTTAGTTCGTCCTATCCTAGAATATGGATGCTGCCTTCAGTACGGCGTCCATAGTAAACGCATTGAGTCGGTTCAAAAGAACTTTCTACTTTTCGCTCTACGCAGTTGAAATTGGGATGCAAACCATAGATTACCTTCCTACTCTAGTAGACTCCTATTAATAAACTTGCCGTCCTTAGCCAATCGTAGAACGATGCTAGGGATAACCTTTATTTTTAACCTTATCCATGGTGATGTGGAAAGTGCTGACTTGTTGAGTCAGCTTAATTTCCATGTACCATGTAGAACCACTAGATCCTATATCCATTAGTGTTGCGCCACTGTAGGACCTCCTTTGAACTGCATGAACCTTTAGAGTTTTATGTGCAAATTATAATGATTTGTACACACTAATCTCTAACGTAGATTCCCTTCCCAAATTAAAATCTTTAATACTAACACACTTAGTAAGCATGCAAGCTAACAATCTGGCAGCACGCCGGTAGTCAATTTTCCTCGTATTCTGTCCTATATTTTCCATCGCGCCTACTAATACCTAACCCAAACAGGCACGTGCCTGGTGTCATACGGGCCGCTTGTATGTACTGACCTTAGTGCATCAATGTCCAAAAGTAATACTGGGAACTGAATCCGCTTAATTTGAAATTGAAGATAATTTGAAATCATTGAATTTCGTGTGACTAGAAATTCCTCTGCGTTGAAGTTGCATTTGATGATCGTTGCTGAAATTACATTGATCATTTGTTTCTTAACGGACAACCGCATACCATTGCACAATTTGGATGATTCAGATTATGTAGCAGGCTATGATTGAGCCAACCTTCAGCTGTTAACTATGTGGCGCAGTTCCTGGCTCATCAATCGAAGTCAAAAGTTCCTGCGGATCAGTCGCTTCATCCTCGTTGTTCACACCGGATCGGCGGATTTGTTTGAGTGCAGTTCTCCAGCGGTTTGATTTTTAATAATAGAATTCAATCTCAATTTCAATTTTATCCTTCACTGCTCGTATTGCCCGTCCTCTAATCCAATTGAGATTTTTATTATTATGGACAACGCCAGAGAAAACGTTCGATTTCCTTTTACGATGGCGTGAATTCACAAAAATTTGCCGGTTACAATATCAATTCATACATCTTTAATCTTTCCAAGTGAACGGACGTGTTTTTTTCTTGCGCTCTCGTTTTGTATTAAAGTTTAAATCTAACCACCGGGGTTAACTTAAATTTTCTAATTTGTGTTTATAACTTCCCGTTCACTTCGCGTGTGCATGCAGCTATTCTAATTTGTGTATATAATTGGTTTTATTTTGCAATTTAGTTGTGCTGCTAGTGCTAGCTTTTGCATATTTTGCATTCCTTTTGTGACTTCTTCGTCTAGCTTTTGTTTGCGCCGTCGCAACAGATAAACGTTTTATCTACGTATTCCCAGGTCTCCCACTCTCTCGCTTTAGTTGTGCTGCTGCACTTCTTATCTTATTCGATCTCATTCGCTCCCCCGCTCTCTCACTCTCGCTTTGACTCATCACTTCTTTCTTCATTGCTCTGTTGTTATTTTTTTCAAGTACAAGTACAGTGGTAAGTCCTAATAATGTCCGGAAATATTGCCTGTTTCGTCAAAACCTGCCAAAAGGCAATTGCTGCAGGTGACCTTACAATCGGCTGCTGGCTGTGCGATAACATCATGCACGCCAAGTGTATTGGAGTTGCAGCTCGGTTGGTGGACGATGTAAAAAAACATCGGCCTGCGTTTCTGTTGTGAGGTCTGTCGCGATGTAGAAAGGGAGATGATGTCTTTCATGCGGCAAACCAAAAGCGGGTTTAAGGGCATTTTAACGGGTTTTCGTAAAACTCTTGATATGTTCTTGGCGCACCGAATTTAATAGCCTTACGCTATTAAATGAGTCTCCTAGGCGCAAAAAAACTGCTATTGGTGGGCAGCATGTAGACGAACCCCAACTACCTCCAACGGGCTCTCAGCAGCAG